GGGGCTCCAGAGGTGTCTGAGTAGAATGTTTGCCTAGCATGCACGAATGATAGCCCAAGCTCAGTTCCAAACACTGCATAACCTGGGTATCATAGGGCACACTTCTAATCTTAGGACAAACGGAGGCAGAAAAGTTGGAAGTTCAAAGCCTTCCTTGCTTTATGTAGTGGGTTTGAAGCCAGTCTGGGCAATATGAGAACTTGTCTCAAAATAATAATACATTTTATTAATTTTATGATCATCATTATTGTTATTGTTATTATTACATAAAAGTAGAGTAGACTTGAAAGGGAAGAAGGCAGCAGAAGGGAGACTCCTACCAGAGGTAGCACACAATGGCTAACAAGATAGACCAGTGATTAAAGGCACTTGCTGTCAAGCCTAATGATCTGAATTCAATCTTTGGGAGACCTGCTCTCCTCCAAATTGTCCTAAGACCTCTACATCCTCACACCAGCAAATGCACACACACAGACAGACACACACGCACAAGCACAAACACAAGCATAGACACATACACCACTAAATAAATAAATAAATAAATAAATAAATAAATAAATAAATGCAGAAAGAGGAGGCACAAAAGCTATTGGGAGATAACACTTTAGCCCTCATTGTCCGAATTCTCAAAAAAACTGCAAATCAGCAAAGAGGAGTAAAAACATTTTGAGGAGATTTTAAACGTGAATTAACAATAAAGTTGGGGACATTGGGGATGGGTGAGAGCACACAATCTCATTCCTACAATGAAGGAGACAATATGGTTGATCCTGAAAAAGAAAAGTGCCTGCCCCTCTGTGCCCTTTTCCTCCTCTGCGAACGGTTCCAGATAAACACCCCAAGAGAGGATCACAGGTCAACGTAGATTTATCATTAGTCATCTATCATTCAACACCTCTCCTGCCTCACTCCACAGACTGTGAGAACAGGCACAGAGAGGGAATTAAATGTGCCCAGGTGGTGAATCAGCTCAGAATGAGCTTGGGTCTCGTGGCATGGTTTCCACCATTCACTGAGAGCAGTATTGCTGGCAAGCACCACCCTCCTCTGCACACTGCAGCTGTCAAAAAAGAAAAGGAAAGTTAGTGGGTCTTTTCAGTTATTAAACGGCCATCAGTTTGCATGGAGCACTTCAGATTCCACATCACCTTTTAGGCCACATCAGCTCTCGTCAGTCATCTGCCTGACACATGACAACAGATGTTCTACAAAATTTCAGGCATAGTTTTCAAAAAGATGTCTTTTCTGTCATGTGGGTTTCAAGCCAAGTTATGCATCTGGAGCAAATACTGATGAAGCTCTCCCTAGGTTATGGTTGCTCGGTTAATCTAAGATCCACTCTGCTTTCTAGAAGTTCACTCTCCAGAAAGATAAGGCTGCAGATAGATATGGGCTCCCTCCCCAGCGTGTTTGCATCCTCCAGGTATGAGTCTAAGCCTTCCTTGGACAGAAGGCACTACACTCTGCATCATAACATGAAAGTGAAGACAATCTGGGTGAGTTTGTGCTTCTTCTACACTCCTGTGAAGGTTCCAATTAATACTACTACAGCTCCATCTTCAGAAGCCCTGAGGAGAAAACAAACCACACAGTTTGGTCATTCCACCAACCTCCACTGTTGCTTGGCTCCATGAGGAGCTATGGACAATGCTGGTCAACTCTTCCATTTTGAAAGATCTCCCTGAGAGGAACAAGTGAATTTGTAAATTGGTGTGTGTGTGTGTGTGCGTGTGTGTGTGTGTGTGTGTGTGTAGATGTGTGTGCCCATGGAGGCCAGAGATGAGTTAGATGAGTTAGAACCTTTGGAGCTGGAGCTATATGCATTTGTGAGATTCCCAATGTAAGTACCAGAATCCAAACTCTGGCCCTCTGATAGAACAGTAATTGGTCTTAGCCACCAAGCCACCTGTCCAGCCTCAACAACCACTTTTCTGTCTGCCACACAGACACAGCTATGTCTGTTTGCTCCTTTGGTATATGTCCCTCATCATGAAAATAATGAATCATAGCTAATAGTACCACTTCATTTTTTTTAAATAATTTATTTTTTTCTCAAATCGTAATTCATTCAAACAGGGGTTATAAACAAAGAAAGGCAGGATGTGGGGAAGGGAATGACACTGGAGTGTGGGTGTTCAGGGGCAATACAGAACCGGGTATTGGCAGGGTGAAGGTTCAGGGGACAAGTCACTATGACTCTGCCTATGACTCGCTTGTCCTTATCTAAGTTGGTATTATCTGCCAAGGCTACTTATTTACAAGGTCTATGACTACTCAGGCTTGTAGATTTCCACAAAAGCTGCCTGTTTACATTAGCTTATAGCCATCTGTTTCAATGTTTTTCCACTGAGACCCAAGACTTGGTGTTAGTATACATGTATGACAGGCCTATTGCTGATTTTAGGCCTATGGCTGATTTTAGGCCTTCAGTGTGTAAGCAGGGCTGCCCCTGATATCGCCTCCCTTCTCTAAGTATAGAAGGGCTGTGGCAATTCTAATCTTTCAAAGGCGGGGATAGAGGCCTGACCTCCAGTACTTGAAGGGGACCCTGTAATGGCTCCAGTCCCCCTGTCGTTGTCCAGTGAGGCATGAAGGCCATATCCATCCCGATGTCTTTTTCCTGGAGAGGGGATACTTTTGACATCAACCCCTATGCAGTCAGGCTTGTCCCTCAGGGAACCCAGAGAGATATTTTTATCTTTTATTTATATTCCCTTGCAGTGCTTAACCTCGCAGCCTAAGCAAGAATTCAGATCGCCTGTCAGAGGGGGTTCTGGGTGGCCCCTCTCTGCTTGGTCTAGGGGCAGAAGCCCCCCCTTTTAGGTTGGGTGGAGATGGGTTTTGGAAACACCCTGTATAAAGTAACAACCTCATCTTGAGTCTCGTGTTCCTCCATAGCTAACCACTTCATTTTTCTATGTACAAACCCTTTCTAATTGCTCATCTTCTCAAACATTTGCTTAGATATTATCACTGGCTTGCTCTATCATCTAAAAGAAGGATAGTTTGTACATGGAATATAGACAGTAGGTATTAACTATTACAAAGTATTTAGGGACTTCTAACTTTTTAATTGTCACTACAAAATATTATTCCTATCATATTTTATAGACAAAATATTTACTACGAGCCTTTTCTATTTTGAGGCCCATCAACTGATGCCTCTCCTCGGACCCTATGTACCCAAAGTCAAACAAAGGCCAAAGAATAAAGTATTTGAATAGTTTTTTGAGGCTGAATGTATGTCCCAAAGAGGAAAATAGCTATGGGGGTACTCTAAAGTCAGACAGTTGAGCAACTTCAATGAGGCTAGGCAAGTAGGTTGGCAGAGTGATGGGGTAGAATTGGCGGTGCCAATATGAGCTCCCATCATGGTCCCATAGAGAGTTGTGCCAGTGTGAGCACCCATCATGGTCCCATAGAGAGCTGTGCCAATGTGAGCACCCACCATGGTCCCATAGAGAGCTGTGCCAGTGTTAGTACCCACCATGGTCTCATGGAGAGCTGTGCTCAGAGGGAATGCCCACATGCAAAATGAATACAAAGAGTCACTCTCTTGAACTAGCAACTTTAGGTGAGAATTTGTGTTTTAGGAGTCCAGTGAGACATTAAGCAAATCCCAGGATAGCAGATCATGGTGTCTCCACTCACCATCCTTCCCACTCCTGCTGCCCTAAGATAGGCTCTTGTTCCTCTGTCCCATGCCTACCTACTTGTACCTTGGAAAGGGGTTGGCTGAGGTATGGCTTCCATGATATTTAGGGTCAGGTGCTAAGTTGCAGGATGGGGTCAAATCTCTTAACTGAATATTTATGTCCCAATGCTTTGTGGTAATTCCAAGGTCCCTGGGAAAACTAACACAATGAGTGTCCTCATTTAATCTATCTCTCTCAAAATTAAATAGCCAATTAAAAGACAACCATGAGAGAGAGCCGAGATGGCTCAGTAAGTAAGAGGATTTGCCGCGTAAGCATGAGGCCCTGAGTCCAAATCCCCAGCACACATGTAGAAAAGCAGTATGTAACTACATGCACAGCTGGAACCTCCAGGGACAGCCAGGAGGATCATTTGGAGATTTCTTGATGCCAACTTAGCTCCAAGATCAGAGGGAGACCTCATTCAATGGACTATTACAGAAAATTATAGAAAGGGCTCCCTCTGTCCTCCTATATCTTCCGTGTGTTAGTATACATGGGCACACACACATATACATACACCATACACAGACATGTATACATACTTAAACATGATAGACAGACAGACAGACAGATAGACAGACAGATACATGGACAGATAGATAGTTCCCTATCATGATAGTGACAATCTAAAAAATCAAGGAAAGGGCTCTTGGCTCTTTTCTGAACAAGGGACCTCACATTTTCCTTTTTTGGTAGCCCTTAAATGGCAGAGCCAGACCTGAATAGAACTAAAGCTAGACAGGTGGATTGGAGACAAATTGGCAGAGCTCTGCTGCTGTCATACTCGGCCTATACTTTTTAAGCCAAGGTTGGCATACTTTTTCTGTAAAGGGCCAGATGGTAATTATTTCAGTCTTTATAGCCACAAGCTCTCAGATGCAACAACTCAATGCCACCATTATAGTGCAAAAGCAGGAAGAGATAATACAAAAATGCAGCATGTAGGGCCATGTTTCAATAAAACTTTATTTAAAAATACAGTAGGTAGGGTTTGATCTGCAGGTCATGGTTTGCCATCTCCTGATGTAGACAAAACAGTAATTCTTGAAGACATTTGACCAAAAAAAAAAAGGCACAGAATCAGAGAATTTTCTAGAACGTTAACTTGATTTCACTGTGGAGTAGAGAATCAGCCTAAAAGGTATTCTAGAAAACCATGTTGCTAAGTCCCAATTCCAAGGAGTCTGTGACCAAGACTCAGCAGTGGCTATGGGTCTGTAGAAGAAAGAACAAAGCAATATGAACATCTCCCTAAGGGGCTGTAATCAATCTCTGACCTAACTTGCATGCTTCCTCCTACAGAAGAAAGAAAGAACAAGCGGAGAGTTCGCACTACCTTCACCACAGAGCAGCTACAGGAGCTGGAGAAGCTCTTCCACTTTACCCACTACCCTGACATTCATGTCCGCTCCCAGCTGGCTTCCAGGATTAACCTTCCTGAAGCTCGAGTACAGGTACAGCACCCACCTTCCAGCCAGGCTCATGCTGGGTCCTCAGCCTTCCAGGACTGCCCCAGCTGAAAACGCCATTGGTTCTATCTCATGGGTTGTCATCACAGCCAAATGAAATGAGAGCAACCTCATTTACTAACGAGCCTCTTCTCTCTGGTGTGGCAATGTAGTGGGTAGGCTTTCCAGCAACCTCTGTTTCCATACCCTATCTCCTAACTTATTCATGCTTTCTAAAGGTTACTCATACTATGCCATAACCATGGGTTAGGGTCTACCAACATGTAGACTATCACTTTGAGTTTTGCTACACATAGTCACTGTCACAGAGGCCCATGTTCCTTGCCATGGTGGCCTGAAAGCAACCACACCCAACACACAAAGAGGTGAGCATGGTGATATTCGCAGCAAAACTGATTTACAAGTGTTGAAATCTGGTTTTTGTACAATTTGCAGGTGTGTTTAAAAAATATTGTTCTTCTTTTGGTTTCTTTCTTCAATGATTTAAAATTGTGCAAATCACTCTCAGCTTGAGGGCCACTCAAACATTTGGAATGGCAGGTGTAGCTTATCAGGGTCCTGTTGGCAAGCCTAGGTACAGAATACCTGTACCTGGGTGTAAGCAGAATAGATAGACTGAGTGAGGATCTACTGTCAGAGATGGGGTTTCACCACTAACAGCCTAATCTAACATCCACAATCTTTTTACCCCAGAGGATCCACTCCTTTTGTCCATGCTTGGAGACACAGTAGCCTTTTGTCCCCTCCAGGGCAGATCCAGTGCACGCTTTTAGACACATTCTGTTTCACAAGTCCCAGGCTGGCATGAAAGGGTCTGTCATATCCAACTGCAACTCTGTTGGCACTATAACTCTCTGAACACAAAGTCTTCTGCATCATTCTTTTTTTAAATGCAGTGCATTTGTTCTCATTCAAAACCAAACCAGAGGTCCAGCCCAATGTGCCACTCTTTATTCAACCTCCTCTGGCTAAAGCCCAGCCTAGCCTAAGCCAGCGCCCCTGTCCTCCCCATTTGGAACTGTGCTCCAGCTGAGTGCTTAGCACCTGCGTCTGCCATCAAGTCTAGAATCCAACACCTGCCTCCCCAGAATCACCAAGTACAAATGGCCACATGTCAGACACCATCAGGGTGCCTATGAATGCAGGCATCTGCCAATGTTCAACCTATAGATGCCAAGTGGCCCACGGAGGTTGCAAACTGGTGGCCTGCTGATGGAGAACAGCCCACAGATGGGTTTTATTTGGCCTGCACAGCATTTGAAAATGCAAATGCACTCACATTTAAAAAAAAAATTTTTCACTTTGGAAATTGGATGAGTCTGGCACACATTCCCGTGTGGTAATTGTTAACAGGACCTGAGACTCTTAAGCTCTGTTCACTGTAGACCCCACCCAGGCCTTCTCAGTTATCACTCATGAAAATACCCCACCCCATTTTCACTCTAAAGATTATGACCTGGGTCTGCTCTCTGAAGTCTCCAGACTTCACATGCAAAGAACCACCCCCCAGTTACAATTTTATAAACAGTGAAGTTCTCATTCTTTGTGCAGCTATCAATATTCTGCATGGGAAGGGGGGTAGATACCAGATGGGGACGGTATTAGTTGAACTGTATTTCCTTTACACACATCATTTTCTTTCCCTGACCATAGATCTGGTTCCAGAATCAGAGAGCCAAGTGGAGAAAGCAAGAGAAGAGTGGGAACCTCAGCGCCCCACAGCAGTCTGGTGAGGCCAGCTTGGCCCTGTCCTCAAACATGGACATGTCTGTGAGTGACCCAGTCCTTAAGTGGGGCTGGAGGGACAGTGATCTGGGAGCATCTCAACAAGGCCCTGATGTAAGGAAGTCCTGAGGGAAGTGCCTACAGTACCAAGCACAATGAAAATCCTTCTAGAAGTAGGAAGGTAAAGGAAGGAAGACAGGATCTGAAGCAAATGGCTGGCTGGGTCTCCCTTTGAGTGACAGGAAGGAAGTTTTATCACTTATACAAAACTTCACAGTTCACAAAGCAGAGTCATGCGGTAAAGCATAGAACATAGGGGTTGGGCATTCAGCTGTAAAGCAGACTGCCCAGTTCCACATCTCAGCTGAAATCCCACATCGCAGTGTGGCATAAAAGAGTCACCTTGCCCCTTAGAGGTCAGTAAGTACTAAAGGTTACAATGACTAAGATCTAGAATATTCTATTCATGGTCTGCTACTGAAGAAGCAGAGCTCTGAGGAGTGAGGTGATATCCTAAGCACATAGTTGCTATTCATGCTACGAGGATTAAGCTCAGCTGGACAGGTTAGATTTTGCCCAGGTTAGCTGAAAGGTGATTCTGACCTCTGTCTGCAAATGGATGTTGGTGACCTTGCACTCAGCTAGGCCACACGGGAGGCTGAAAGTCTCAGGTAAGGCAGAACAAGCTGGCTGATCCCACTACCCAGTTACCTGAGGTAGCTACCTGAGTCACGGGGGTGCCCAGGAGGCAGCAGGGACTGTCCTCAGTAAAGGTTATGATTCATTGTTTCCCTCTGGTCTCTCCTGACAGGGTCCTGTGCTGACACCTACTGCTCTGCCCACATCAGTGCCTCCCACAGAATGCTACCCACTCTCTCAGACTCAGCTCACTTCAAGCTGGTTCCCTGCCCAGATTCCCCTTGTCCCATGGCACCTATGGGACCTACAGCCCCTTCCTGGCCCTCTCACCCAGCAGCCTTGTGTCCCTACCTTCATCCTCCCACCCCCAAACCCCAGGTGGAGCAGCATCTGTGCAACTTCAACATAGGCACTGGTTTCTCTCTTCCCAAGCAAGCCATTCTCCTCTCTCAGTGATGGCAGGCAGCCCTGGACCTCAGAGGAAATCACTTCACAATCCATCAATGGCCCACAGCCCAGGAAGCTACCCAGAGCTTGCCATTAAAGACTTTACTGGCCATGGATGACAGCAAAGAACCACACGCATCTCACCAGCCAGTCATTCTAGTGCAGAGGCTTGGCTGGCTAAGAGCTGGGGATGAAGTCCAGAATAAGCTGCTCTCCCCTTACCCCTCTGGACCTTACCTGTAACCAAGCAGCCATTTCTGTGGACCCCTTCCTCCCTTACTTAGGAGAGCCTTGGGAAACACAAGGCATGGGTAAGGGCTGCACATCCATGCACCCATCCGTGTACTTGTTCACGATGTCCGTACTGAACACTTGGCATTGTGCACTTGAAAAATAGATGTTGAGCTGCTCAGGTCAGATTCTGCCCAGGTTAGCTGAAAGGTGATCCTGGCCTCTGTCTGCAAATGGATGTTGGTGACATCTCACTCAGCTAGTGTCTAGTACACTCATGACTTTGATATAAAAAATCTCAGACGGGGAGAAAAATAGAAGAAATGTTTTTAATTTAAAAGAGAATTTAGTGTCTTTATCATTTTGTTGGGCTTGAAAAGGATGTTGTCCATCCTCACTGGCATTATTGCTGAGCAAAACAGCAAAGTCTTTTGTGTTCCCAGGGCCCAGCTAGACTGCTTCGGTCTATGGTAAAGAAAAAAAAAAAAAAGACCTTTGTTCTTCTCTTTGTTTCTTTGAAGAGAGACTCTGGACCAGTAGTCCTCAACCTGTGGATGGTGACCCCTTTGGCCAACCCCTATCTCAAAAACTTATTAACATTATGATTTATAGCAGTAGCAAAATTACAGTTATGAAGTAGCAATAAAATAATTCCCTGGTTGGGGGTCACCACAACATGAAGAACTGTATTAAAGGGTCACAGCATTAGGAAGGTTGAGAACCATTGCCCTAGACAGGCCACATGTCCTACTGAGTCTGGTTTTTCTTGTCTCTCAGATGGAGGCAGTAACTCCCACCTGACCTATGGTTAAGAGCAACTGGGAGACTCTGGGGTGTGCAGGGTGAGCAGACACTGGAATGACATTGGCATCTCATGCCTTACTGAGCAGGCAATAGCTTGGTGTCCCCACCTCAACAGACTCCTACTTCCAGAGAGGCCTCCTGTTTGGCTTTCTTTATGCCCTGTTTGGCTTTCTTTATGTCTCAGAGGCTTGCCCTTGCTGCTCTCCTCAACTAAGTAGCTGGGGATAACCTCTACATGTAGCTTCAAAGTAGGTTCTAGAAAATTTATCCTGAATCCAAAAATACCTAAAATCTGTGTAATGCCTAACCTATCCCAGAAATAGGCCAAGAGTTGGGAATCCTAGGTCTTAGCTCTGCATACTCTCTAACTTTCTCATGACTTCATTGTTTCATGTCTCTGGGCCTCAGTTTCCCCATCTGTTAGTTAAAGATACCAGTGTCAGCTCTGCCGTGGGGTATTCAGCACACCAAAACTACAGACCACAGCTCCCAGGACATAGGACTGTTCCTCCAACTGAGATGTTCTCAGCCACCCTGAGCCCTTGAGGATTAGAACCCAACCTCCAGATAATTCTGGATGAAAGGAGACAGCTAGGAGCAAGTGGAGAAACACAAAAAGCAAGTAGTTCATAATTGAGTTGCTTGTTGTGTTGTGTTGCTGTGACAAAATGCCCATGATAAACCATCTATAAGGAGGAAAAGTTTCAGGGGTTGAAGATCATAGTCCTCTGGTCATGTTGCTTTGGGCCTGTGGTAGCACAGTATATCACAGTGAAGGGTGTGGTAGAAACCCCTTTCCTTCATAGCTACCAGGAAGCAGAAAAAGGCAAGAGAGGAGTCAGGGTCCTAGCACCCACTTTAAAAGCACACCTTTAACAACCTAACTTCCTCAAATTTCTAAAGGCTCTGCCACCTCTCAGATGCACCACAGGTTTGAAATGCACGGCCTTTGGAGACATGTGGGCTCAAAACCATGGTCCAGCTGCCCACTTCACAGCCAGAAATCCATTATGCAAGTGTAACTCTCAATATTTTTTTATCCCTGGACTTACTGTCCTCATTCTTAGCAAGAAATTTATTCTGGTAGCTTCTAGATTGTTAATTCCCAGTTTAAATGTAGTCTCAGACCTCCCAGGGATTGAACTCAGGACATAAGCTTTGCAGCAAGAACCTTTACCTTCTGAGCCATCTTGACAGCGTAGGAGACATGAGTTGCTCAACTGCCAAGAAGCTCAGCTTCTCTGCTATAGGAAGCACTGAGTCTGGAGCACATCTTCCTCCCACCTCCCAAAAAACAACTTGCTATTTCATTGCCTTATACCCCTTCTGAATGTACCAACTATGGAACCTCAGGCAACAAATAACATATTCCCTCCATCTACTTCTCCCCTAATAACTTCCTTGCCCCTGTGGGAGGCTGTGATAATGAAACAGAGCTTCTGCACATGTCAAGAACACAACATGTCTGGGGAGGGGTCATTTTCCCAAATACCTTTCCAACTCCTCTGCTGTCTAGATCCTATCCCGGGAGCTCTTGACTCCATTTCTGGGCCCCCAAAAATTCTCAAATGAGTGGTCAAAATTATGAGTCTGTTTCTTCTTCCAACTAAAAGGGGCCCTTCCTTTGCCTAGCTTCTCTAAAAGCAAAGTTAAGAGCAAGTAGGCATCAGGAACCCTGACAGATAGGTTGAGTCCATTCTAACAGGCTCTGACTTTAGCAGAAAGACAGAGAGAGAATACAAGAGTCACTAATTTATCTTTGTGTTTTAATTTTTTATCTTTGTATACAAATGATATATATGTGTGTGCATGTTTATTGTGTGAACACAGATATGTATGTGCTACCATGTGCATATGGAGGAGTGAGGACAATCTCACATTTCAGTCCTTGCCTTAAACCTTGTTTGACAAAGGATCTCTTGTTCACAGCTGCACACACCAGAGCAGCTAGCACACAGGTTTCCAGAAATTCTCTTGTCTTAGTCTGCAATGTCACTGAGAGAACACTGGGATACAAGTGTACACTATGGTGTCCAGCTTGCATGAGTTCTGGGAGTCAAAAACAGGTCCTCAGCCATCGGCCCAGAAATCACTTAGTTAAAGGAAGGAAGGGAGATGAAAAACTGGTGTGGAAAAGACAGTTCTCAAAACCAGGCTCCTGAGGATCACACAAAGAAGTCAGGAATGCTGCGAAGACAGATGCCATCCTGAGACACCAGATGAAGCTCCAACATCTGCATGTCCATTGAAAGCAGTGGTTCTCAACCTTCCTGGTGCTGAGACCTCTAATATAGTTCTTCCTGTTGTTATGACCCACAACCATAAAATTATTGTCTTTGCTACTTCATCATTGTGATTTTGTTACTGCTATGAATCATAATGCAATTATCTGGTATGCAGGATATTTGATATGCGACCCCCAAAGGGGTTACCACTCAGAGGGTGAGAACCATTGATCTAGACTAAGAAAAGCCAAGCTGTGTGTGCAACCTCCAGGATGATGCCAGGGACAATATGGAAAGAAAATCATAACAGGCTTAAGTTGGACCCTAAGAACTAGTACAGAAGTTTTCCCAAAGGCACTTTGTGTCCTCACCTCTCCAAGGAATGCCCTTCCACACCCTGCATTGGGAACATATCATCACTGAGGCCCCTGGATGGCATCAAGAACATTCCTATCTCTGCCCTTTGCCCTACTCATCCCTCAGCCAGGAATGACTACCCCTCTTTGAGGGTATGCCTTTACACTTTAGTGTCAAATCTCCACCCAAAGAACATCTCCACTGTCCTTCTCTCCTCTGAAATTAGAAAATCTTTTGCATCATCCAAACAAAGAATGTCTAAGAGCTGCTATGTGCATGTGATTTTGTAGCTTGGAAAAAGTTACGTTTAGAGATAGAAATCATAGATAAGTTCTGCCTTATCTTTTATGATGGTTCTTCTTTCTCGCTCCCACAGCACTGTGAACCTTCTCTGTGATGATATGGCCCTGATTCTGAAGTCCTACCCTGTGCCCAGCACTTTGTCACAGGCTCACTACATTAGAGAAGCAATATGACTTGTGCAACATTACATAGCAAAAGTCTATTTAGAATCCATTTCTGGCCGATGCCAAAGCTTGGAACCACCACGTACATAAAATTATAAAGATATTATATATACATATACACACATATATGTGTGTGTATATATACTATATATATATATATATATATATATATATATATATATATATAATTTGTAACTAATGAAAACATAAATTGTGTACAAAGTCTGTAATACAAATGCATATGTGGTGGGCTATGTATTTATCACATATGTGCAGTCTCCCAGCATCTATTCTCCATTTTAGTACCATGTTCAGTATACAGAAAGTGCTAGGTGTGTTAGGTGAATGGCTAAATTCTATTCTGTAATTAGTCATCTTTCTACCCCATACCCAGTTGTCTCTCTGACTTACACTATTGTGATTTTCTACACAGGTAGAAGAACAAATCAGACCAGACTCCAGTATTCTCTATAGGAGAAATCAGAACTTTCAGAAAGACTGGTGGAGGCTTGCCTTGGCCCCAAGTTGGTTGGGTGGTTGAGAGTAGTGGGAACACCACACAGGTGCCAGGGTAGTCATCTCTGCCAGATGAGGCTGTTCCAAGGGCTCCTCAGGAGGGCCCTGACCGTTGGGTGACCCCTGGGTGGGGACCTGTTCTCCTCTGAGAAGGAGGTTACTATCCTCTTATCACTAGAAGGTAATAAAGTCATTTCATGGCAATTAAAATCCTAACCAATTTAAGTCATTTACAGCTCCAAACAATTACACCAGGATTCTTATCCCCAAGACTCCCAAGATGTTGTTTAAAGTGGGACATAATGGCTGCAGGTAGGAGTAGACAAGAGGAAAAAGATAGTGGCCAGAGCCTAGGAATGACATTTCTTTACTTTGATTTTCTTTATGTTTTAATATGCATGTGTAGTAACTGGTTCTCTTGTGGCATGTTTGTGCTTAGTTTTGACTGATTCTTCTTCTCTCAGCTCTCCTCATCTCCTTGGTCCCCTTGTCCCCATCTGCGTTTGTACCTTTCTGATCCCAGTATTCCCCCATCCACATTCATATCACGTGAGCTGTTTATCCCCTTCCTGCTCCCTTGGAGCCCCTGCCCTAACCTCTTGAGCCTCTACTTTCCCAACCTTTACACATATTCACACATTCACACACAGATATGAAACTTAGAAGCTAGGATCTGCACATAAGAGAGAACATCTGATACTTGCCTCTCTGCTTCTGAGTTATCCTACTTAATATTATATTTTCAAATTCCATCCTAAGCATCTGGCTCCCTCTATCAGATACAGGCTACTTGTAGTATCTGATGACGGGTACCCAAGTGAATACAGATGGGCCTCCCTCCTAGAGAAAGGGCCCTGTCATGTGTCCCAGGTTCCATGAAGGTCCACAGGACAGAAAGCAGGCTCCTTGGGAGATTTTTAACTCCATAACACAGAGGTGCCTCTAACTGTGACCACTGAATCTATCCTAC